ACGTTTGGGGGGCTCTTTGTTAATCCTTGAATCCAGTTTGTGGGGGTTTAATCCAGAGAAGAGGGAACTCGTTGGAGAGTGGACAGGTAGACATACGTTGGACCCTGAGGAGTAAAGGAGTGGACTGTCACTTGGTTTTCCAGATGAGGACTTGAACGGATCATGTGGAGATATTTATATTTTTTTCCGATATTGTTCTTTTAAACTGTGGTAAGCCTTGTGTGTTGTTTAAAGTTATCAACTCTGCTCTGAATGCACCTCAGACTGTAATTGAGGCCTCCCCTGCTGTGTGTGAGAACTTTCTTCACTACTTTATTGATAAAGTCACTTCTACCAGAGCACTTATTTCACCTCCTGCTTCTGATCCTTCGGTGTTTGTCCCCTGCTCTGCTGTGTTTGACATGTTTGAACCTGTGACCCTGCCTTTTGTGCAGGAGATTGTGGGTCACTTGAAGCCTTCAGGGTCTCCAGATGATACTGTCCCACCCCGATTTTTTAAGGAGGTCTTTCCCACTATCGGGCCATCGTGTCTCACAATTATTAATAGCAGTCTGTCCTCTGGAGTAGTCCCTTTAAATCTTAAACATGCAGTCGTGCAGCCTTTATTAAAAAAACCTGGGCTGGATCCTACTGTTCTGTCGAATTTTAGGCCTATCTCTAAGTTGCCTTTCTTCTCAAAAATCTTAGAGAAGATTGTTTATTCTCAGCTCATGGACTTTTTAAATGAACAAAATGTTCTTGAGATTTTCCAATCTGGTTTTAAAACATTGCACAGCACAGAATCAGCGCTTTTAAGAGTTTTTAATGACATCTTTTTAGCTACTGACTCTGGACACTGTGTTGTCCTTGTACTTTTAGATTTGACTGCAGCATTTGATACAGTGGACCATGAAATCCTGATTGCTCGTTTGGAACAGTGGGTGGGCATCAGGGGCTTAGCACTGGAATGGTTCATGTCCTACCTGTCACATCGGACTTTCTGTGTCAGCCTTGATGACTCTGTGTCCTCCACTGCTCCTCTCTCATGTGGGGTCCCACAGGGCTCCGTGCTTGGCCCTCTTTTATTTTCTCTCTATCTACTCCCACTTGGCTCCATTCTCAGGAAACATGGCATTTCCTTTCACTGTTATGCTGATGACAGCCAGATTTATGTCCCCCTCAAAAAGGCTGATTCCTACTCTGTTGAACCACTGTTAAGGTGTTTACATGACCTTAAAGCTTGGATGTCTTTAAATTTTCTGAATTTTAATGAAGAAAAGACAGAAGTCATGGTCTTTGGTGGCACATCTGTGACCCCCTCCCTAGTTGATCTCGGTTCTCTATCGCAATACAGTAAACCAACTGTAAGAAACCTCGGGGTAAAAGTGGACTCAGACCTTAAATTTGACAGCCAGATAAAAGCTGTAATGAAATCTAGCTTTTTCCAGCTAAGGCAGCTGGCAAAGATCAAACCAGTCCTTCAGAGAAAGCACTTTGAGACAGTAATCCACGCCTTTGTGACCACTCGGCTGGATTACTGTAATGCACTTTATGTGGGGATTGCTGGGTCCTCAATTGCTCGTCTTCAACTTGTTCAAAATGCTGCTGCACGTCTTTTAACTGGCACACGCAAGTACGAGCACATTTCACCTGTTTTAGCTTCACTCCACTGGCTGCCCATCCATTTTAGGATTAATTTTAAAATTCTTTTATTTACTTTTAAAGCCTTGAATGGCCTTGCCCCAATTTACCTCTCTGAGCTTCTGCACCCCTACACTCCCAGCCGATCTCTCAGGTCAGCTGATCAGCTGCTCCTGACAGTGCCTAAAGCAAGGCTTAAGCTCAGAGGGGATCGAGCGTTTTCTGTTGCAGCTCCAAAACTCTGGAATGCATTGCCGCTGCACATTAGACAGGCCACCTCTCTGTCTCATTTTAAAACTCTTCTTAAAACCCACCTCTTTTCTTTGGCTTTTAACACCATGTAGAGTGTTGATTTTATGTACACATGTTGATTTTATGTACACATGTTGATTTTATGTATACACATGCATTTTTTTATCCTGTGCGGGCAGTGCTTTTATTTTATTTTATTTTATTACTTTTATTTATTTTAGTTATTTTATCTTTTTGTGCAGCACTTTGGAAACCTTGTGTTTATTTAAACCGTGCTATATAAATAAAGTGGATTGGATTGGATTGGATATTCCCCTGCTCAGTAGGAACTCAGTAAATCCTTCCAGGGGGAGAAGGTCCAGGCTATCCAGTTACACAGGAAGGCTTCCTGCTGAAGAGCAAAGACAAAAAACAAGATCAGACTCAGAGAAACAATATTAAGGTTTATATTGAGGTGGCAAACACTCTGGCGTTGAGGTAGTGACAGCCCGCTGCTCAAGTACTCCTCCGGTAATGACCCAACGAGCCGCAGGTGTGCAGGGAGGCCCAACAAGGACAGGGCACCACCTGGTGGTGGAGAGAGGAAAACAAAAACAACCAGCAAAAACGAGAATCCTAACACTCTGAATGAGCTGCAATGTTTCAGAACAATTATAAGTGTGATGAGTGTACCTACTACATGTATATTTTTTTTAAAGTGTCAATAATGTTATTTTAAGATCAATGCGTGATCAATCAGTGTGTGTGTGAATGGTTGTTTGTCCTTTTTGTCTTTGTGTTGCCCTGCGATCTGTCCAGGGTGGACCCCGCCTCTCGCCCGTAGACAGCTGGAGATAGGCACCCCTCCTGACCCCACTTGGAATAAGCGTAACAGAAAATGGATGGATGAATGGATCAATTCTGCTGTTATGTGATTTGTAAATGAACGGCCTTCAGAGCTCTGTTCACTAGGGTTAATCATTTTAACTAGGGAAGATCTTCTTAGATCCCCAATTATGGTGTTAGCATGATTTTTCTATCAGGCCTTTCTTTGAAAGAGTAGCACTAGAAGAGCCATCATTATAAAAATCTTAAGGAGTTCTGTTAGCAGTTTGCCAAACTTTAAATTCATCACCATGAGTTGATAGAAAGAGGGATGGACCTACAAAGAGGGCAGTCCTGGAGATTGAGTTGGAAGTTGACCATCTAGCAGGATCCTAACTGTATAGCCAACGAAAAATATATTCAGGTAGGTGCAAATTATTTCAGGGAGGTGCAGTTTTCAGACTGTTCAAAGACATTTTTCCCTGATGTTATGTCACAGAGTTCATTGCGTAGTTATGGCTGCTTCATAGAAGTCCAAACCTGCTTGTCTGCAGCTATGGGATATAAAGCACCTCCAAAGCAATCATCTACACTGTATCCTTGCATCTTTGTATCCATAAACATATTTTTTAAGGTCAGCTATTATGCTCAACAGGCCCCAAAAGAACTAATTCAGTTTTAGCAACTTGTTTTTGCAACACTGCGCTTTTATCATGGTTGGCTGACAGGGGTGAAGGATTGGAAAAATTATTTTTACATTCTGTTTCAGCTTGTTTATACCCGACTGATGCAAAGTTCAGGGACAAGATCCCCCTGAATATGAAAGGTCAATGATATAGTCTCTAGAGAATTTAAGATAATTAAATTTACTTCCCAAATGAATGCAAATTAGGGGAAACATGAGCACATCAATCTAGGAGACATTAGAATTGAAATCCAGACACTGTGAACCTAAAATTTAAATGATGGAAAATATGTTCGGCTGAATTAAGAGCTTTTAGGGCAAATGTAGCTGCATGTTTTAGGAAGCTGCTGCTTTGTATTTACTGCTATACTTGTCTCTCAATTCTCTAGTATGTTTTATACATCATTGTCATTGTTTTCTCTAATTAGAACTGTTCCATAAACCTAACAATTAAAAATAGTCATGCAGTGCCTTGCAAAACTATTCAGATTTTATGAGCTTTAAATAACTTTTGTCTTTTAAAAACTTGATTGTATTTATTATACAATGATCTGAGAGGTGGGGCACGACTGTTCATTAAGAAGCTGTGGATCAAGACTTTAGACCTTTTCCCACTGAAAACCTCAAACTTTGTACTAACCGACTATAGAAATCCGTCTAATACGTCATTTTCCCTTTTTTTCTTTTCTTGACTTTTATAAGGCACCTGAAAAATCATGCAGCTGTTCCCATCATGCTTTGCAATGCTAGTAGGAACAATGGCATCAGCTTGTGAATCCGCAGGGAAACATCTAAAACCTGCAAGACAACAGCCCTCGATGACTGTCTTTGGACACTCCTGATCTGAACCATTATATTGCAGCTCTGGATGTATATTTGGCTGCTGGAAAATGACCTGCTGTCCAAGTCCGCACCTCTATTTTCTTCTAGAATTACTATTGGCTCAACACATCTTCCTGCTTCCCTTTAATAACAGTATCTATCCCTTCTGATAACAAGAAAAGAAGGAGGGAGATGGTTGGATGCACAGGAGTGTGTTTAGAAAAGCACTTTACTACTTTATGGTGGGTATGAACTTTTTTCTAGGTACCTTGTTTTAAGTCTGGTTCACCATCCAGACAACAATAGCCCTCACTATTCAGCCTTTTGCCACTGTGTCTTTAATAGAGGGTTGCCTTAGTTATAGCTTTTGTTCTATTGAATGTTTACCCAGAAAACTTTGAAGCAGGCAACAAAAGCTGCCCCATATACATGGTAACGTATGAATGGGAAGGCATCATATAAACTATGCAGAAATGTACTGGCATGCATGAAAAGTAGGATTAATTTCAGCTTGAAGGGGATAAATAAAAGTGGCAACTGTGAAAATGCCACAGATAGCTGCTTGTTGTTACAAAAGTAAAACTGAAGCATCTTCATATTGAAAAGTTGTTTCACTTAAAAAAAAAAACTGAAACCATAGAAAAAGTAAAATGATGCATATAAGGTTCTTGTGTCTTTGTCATGTTTATAATTAGTTTCCCTTCGGCTCAGCTCCATTGACCTGTTTAATGAGGGCTCAGGGTTGAGGGGGCTCAGAGGGAAAGGGGGGGTAAATTATGCTATTATTTTTAACTGCTTCCCACAGAGCAAAGTGGATAACAACGTTGGAGGACGCCGAAGCAGCCCTGCTCCTCTGACACTCCGTCTAGTTTTCTGAGTAAGATTTTGCATTGAGAATTAAGAAGATGCCCGAGACGAGCGAGCGACAGAGACTAGCAGAAGTCATCAGACAGTGGAATAGCAACAGACTGGATTTGTTTGAAATCAGCCAACCTGATGAGGTGAGACATGTTGGAAGGACAGTCAGTCAGGACCTCTGGCAATAAGCCTTTTGTCCACTTTAAAAACAATAAATTTTGATGGTTATCAATAAATGTAACATTAATACATTTTTTATCAATAGCTCCATATTTTCCTATCATTTTACTGGCATGTTTATTTCTGATTTGTCATCTATGTATCAAGGTAGCATCTCAGGTTTTGTTCTGCGTTCAGTTCCTCCCTACACTTTTGGTCACACATTGGCGTTTCTATAGAACTGGTCCTCTGTTATGGCGCCTGAACGTAGTTGGAAAAATTTTTTTTACAATCAATGTGTTTTACAAACAATGTGTTGGCACAGAATCCTTAACTGAACAGTCCCTTCAATCTAACATTTTACCTTCATTTAGCCATATTAAGAATGGATCTCTATATTTGTCTGCTAGGTCAGTGGTTTGCAAACTGAGGCTTTAAGCAGTTCTTGGCACTGTGGGTCATTAAACACACCAAACTATGAACTTTTTCCCTGTTTTCTTTGTTTTGTTTTTTTTTACATGAAGGAAACTGCCCCTTTGTTAAATTTGGTCTATAACTGCTATTGGTCTCACTGTACTGAAAGGCCACATATAGACAATGCTGTTTCCAGTAGGATCTACCTCTGGACTTTGACTAGGACATTCTGACACATGATTTGATATCTGGTTGTACTTGTAAGGCCAACCTAAACACCAAAATGTTTTCTTCTGGTATTATGCAATATTTAGCTCAACCCATTTCTTCACCAAACTCTGACCTTTTCTAGATGGGTGTCCATTATCCCCCTAGCATGATGCTACCTCTACCATGTTTAACATTAAGGATAGGGATGTTCTAAGTCTTTTAGGATGCTATTCATTACAGTATGGTTAATAAAAATAAAAAACCTCAAGGCCTTCACAAAATAGCTGGATCTTCACTTAGATTAAATGTAATTATATAAAATATGCCATAAGATAATGCCAGATACATTATGTTAGACTAATTAGGTGGATTTTTTGGGACTGATCATACAAGTAGGAGGTGGAACAAAAAATCGACGTTTTGACATTTATTCTTTTAATTTGTAGTTTATATTCATCTTTTTCTGAGCTTCACAGCGTTATATTAAAACTGTCAATTGTGTTCCAACAGAACCTGGTATTCTACGGTGTGATCCGATTCTACCTTGAGGATAACGCAGAGGGAAGAGTGGCTACAAAGTGTGTACGCGTTTGCAGCAGTTCATCAGTTCAAGAGGTCATCGAAACTCTTTCGGAGAAATTCAGGCCTGATATGAAAATGCTGTCAACAAGTTATTCATTATATGAGATCCACGGAGATAAAGGTAGGAACTACCTTCTGGTCACGGACTCTGATAACGGGAACTTCTACCTCGAATTCTACTCTTGCTTTAACCTCTTGGAATATAGGACAATTCTTTGGAAACCTGTTGTTCAGCCATGTTCTATGAGGTACACCTTTCGCTGATGAAGCACCTTCCTTCTTTCCAATGTATACAGGGCCAATATGAGTAATTTTGAACAGGAGGTGCAAAAACCAATGAGCCTTTAGGCCTATTTAAAATACAATATATGAAAATAAATAAATTGATTGAGATTCACTACTTTATTGTCATATACACCTCAGTGCACCAATTAGGGTGCAGTAATCATAAATCAGTTCTCAGGTGAATATATGCGCTATTAATTTAACTTCACAATAAAACATTTTTCAGCTGCTTTACACCAATTTTAAAAGCCGGCATTCACAAAAGGGCTTATCTTTCCAAAATTTTTCTTTTTTTCTGACTGCTTTCAGACAAACGAAACACAAAATATAATCAGTCTCTTCCATATAATGCAGCCTCTGCCAACTAGCAAACCAAGCCGGTGCCACAGAACGTGAGAACGTTACATTACCACAAAATGTGCAGGAAATTGGAAACTGGATGTTGGCTGGAAAGGCTTGTCTAATCCAATCAAGCTAGGTTTGGTTGTGGGTGCTGGGGCTGGGCCTGCCGGTACAATTGCCATCAGAGGCGGGCGGATAGTCTCCTCACTTCGGCTGCTGTCGTGGTTGCGGTACTAGTGTTCTTCTTCACTGGTTGTGGTTTTCCAAAACAATACAAAATGCATTTCTGTGCCATATTTCCTCCTCATTTCTGTCATTAGACTATGTCAATTTACTAATCTGCTGCCGTGAGCGCGGGATACCTCTTTAAACAGCAACTACTTGCTTGCCTGACGTTGCCATGACAACGTAACTTTAATTCAATTAAAATCCAAAAACGCGTAATAGTAAAATACGGTAAGAAAAGTCTAAATCATTTCGCAAAATATTCAAAAGAAGTTTATAAACTTATAAATTGTAATTTTAATGCATTTTTCAAAAATCTCCCTCTCGACACTAGGGGGTGCTAAAGCACCCCCAGCTCCCCCACTTCCCACAGTCATGGTATATCTTTTGGGTTGAAAGGTTTAGCTGTTCAGCATACTATGTTAAAACACAGTAAGCTAACTGGAGAAGGAAAAAGGAGCCTTAATATTTTCCTGGCTATCTGGGGATTCAATTTTAATGCGAATAATCTAAAAATGGTGCAGAATTAATCTAACCAGACTCCGCCAGATGGATTTGCTCCGCATATCCATCTGGAAACCTTCCGTTGAAGTAATTTTGGGAAGGGGCGAAAATACTGGTTAGCTGATTGGCCATTGTTGGTGATAGACGGGCCAAATAAACCAATCAGATCAACGAAGCATATGACGTACTAACAGAGCGAAGACGAAAACACAACCACAAGCCAGGCTAACTCTTGTCGAAACCAGTCGGGAGAAGAGCAAAAACATCTTTTCCTCTGAGAAAAGCCTCCAGAGCAGTGTTTTGCTCTTCTTTCAGTGAAGAAATACTCTGTAATTCCCATAAAACTTGCTCGATAGCCACGCTAACGCTAGTTTCATCGGCTGAAGCCGCCATGTTCTTTAGACTGAACTGTCGCGCTTCTCGTTGCGTCACACCTCAACCTGCCTCAAAGCCAACGCTGATTGGACGTTCGTTTGGTGAATGGCTCTAAATTTTCTTTAACGGAGAGTCTCCAGACTGATCTGTGAGTGAAACCTTGAAAGCTCGCGAGATCAGGATGGTCTCACGAGGCTAGAATTAATCAGGAACTGCATTGAAACAGGTCAAAACATCATCTGGCTGAATCTTCATTGGTGTAAAGAGAGTGTCTGCATAGCATAGCATGGGATAAGGTCAGGTGACATTTGAGTAGCATTACATAAGATTGGTAGTACTTGGGCATGTATGCAGCTAGCAGTCATATTTAGTAGATTATGAGTTCTGATCAAGCTTATTTCTCAGAGTAAATCTAGCCTTTAAAAAAGAAAAACGAACTTTAAGCAGGCATCAAACATGTTTTTTTTGTCCATTTCTGTATTAAAAAATGTTTTTTCCTTTCAATTGTGTATTTCCTGAGTATCTAAAAATTCATAAACAACAAAAATGATTGACTTCAGCTCCCTGTATATAACGTGTTTCTATTAGTATTCACTAACAGAAATTAACATTTCAGCAATATTCTAATTTATTAGATTTATCTTTGCATAGTATCTTTTTGTCTTCTTTTAAAAATACAAGAGTTTCAAGTTTCAAAATAAAGGTCCTTTTAAAAAGTTCACGGTGAGTTCTCTCTATTGACTGTGTGTCTGTATGCCGCTGTTGTTGACCATATTTGAACTTTGACTACGGCGTTCGCAGGACCCATGTTTGCGTTTCATTCGGTGCCCCACTCTTGTACCCCTTTCATGTGGCATTGCCATTGAAAATAATGAATTTCAGAGCGCATCAGTGTGCACGCAGCATCCTGTCTAAAAGGCCCTTCAGCCATAATCATTAAAATTACAAGAAATAAAGACTCGGAATCTTTCACTCTATGTTTAAATAACCAATATGAATGAGGAAAATGTAGAACCTCTTAACAAAAGTATTTTTTTTTTTCAGATGAAAACTTCATTCCCCAGGTGGATGAGGAATCATGTAGTATGAAAAAAGAAAAAAGAAAAAAGAAAAATAAGACCTATAAATGAATGACATGACTAACCAAAGCAGAAGTTCATATTTGACCGTTTAACTGGCTGGTCAACCACTTGATTGACTATAGCGTTAGAGGGCTTAAGGACAAACCTTCATCACACTGATCAATCAGTCATCTTTAAGGTTCAGGTAAACCTTTTTAAACAGTTCCAAGTTTCATTTATCATCCCTAATAGACACAACAAGCGCATTTAACCAAAGGATTTATACCAAACAGCATTAAGTTTTCTCCATCTTTGGTATATTTTATGTATAATTGCAGATGAGGAGAGGTTCATCTACTGGAGATCTAACCAAGTAGCAACAGCTGAATGTTTTTCAGGGAGAAAATAATCTAAGCATGAAACCAATATTGATTTTTAAAAATAAGAAAACATGCTTGTACATGAAAAGAGTAAAAACCCATTGTACTTTTTAAAGGCATACTATGCAACATTTTTCAGTTAATTAATGTGTTCCATAACGTTTTGGATGATTAAATGAGTAATTTCAGGTTGAACAAAGGTTTTCTCGGCCGCCCTGGTGGTCTGTGGGGGAAATACCGCACTTGCAATTGCAGGAGCCCTCGGCCCGCACCCACAGGCTCAGAAGTCTCGTGCATCGCGAGAGTCGGTCTTGCTTTACGGCGAGAGCTTGGCTAACTACAATCTGTTATTTAGACACATGCGTAACAAATAATGTACGAAAACATGCTAAATTTTCAAACTCGAAAATTGGAACAAAATAGTCACTTACCGCAGTAGACATGGTGATTCGTTACGTTCGCCTGTCTGCTAAGCTCAAAACAACCGCGCCTGGCTTGACGGAGAAACCAGGAGAACAGCTGAGCATATTTACGACAGTGCACTTTTACTTTCGCCCTCTGGGGGGAGCCTCGCTGGAAAATCAACACCGGTTGCATAGTATACCTTTAACTTATTTCCTTTTACTGTGAAACATTTTACTTTTGCACTTTTTCTATTCTCACTCTTTTTAATTTACTTGACAAGACAAGGCTTAAAATATCTTGATGTAATATTTTCTTCATTTGTGAACATTTGTATTATGTGGTATTCAGAGATTTTCTGTAGTTTTTATGTTGTTTAACTTTCTTTGTTTTTTATACTGTGTCTTTTTCTGATGACTTTAAATTAACTTCATCCAGGATGTTTTGTAGAAGCCAATACATTCTTTAAAATAAGTGTTTTATATTAAATAAACATTTTATAAATGAATATTTCTTTCTCTATTTCTTTATTAGAGCGTAAGTTGGATCTAGACGAGAAACCTTTGGTTTTACAACTGAGCTGGACGTCAAACAACCGAGAAGGACAATTTGTGCTCAAAAAGGATCATGGCAGTTTGGAGGTAATCCTGTAATCCTTTAGTTTTTTGAGAAAATCGGATTCTAAATAAAGGTTAAAAAAAAGGTTGACCAAATCAAGATTTCTGGAAAAAAAAACACAATATGTTGATACCATATTCATCTAATTTTAATTATAAATAAATAAAAAATATTACCTTTTCTAATGATACAAACATGAGGAAATTATCTGCTTGTTTATATATATATATAAAAAAATCTAATTAATGTTTTCAAGAACATTTTTCCCAGCCACTCTCCCAATAGTAATAGTAGACTGTAGACTGTAATAGTAGATGAAACGTTACCCTGTGAGTTTGACAGAGCAGCTGGTGTAAAAACGGGGTTAAACATTTTCAGAGCTTTATTAAAGGTGCATTTTTTTGACATTTTTTATAATCTTGTATATGACATCAAGATTAGCACTGATACTAATTAATACAACTGGTGATCTGGCTTGGCGACAGTAACCTACCCACTGCAGTTTATATAAACTCGAAACTATGTTTAAATTTCACCTCCATAGCGTTAATCTGTTAGCCTGGTATCGACATTATCACATTTTCGATCAGTCTGCCAAACATTACAAGATTTCAAAACCAGATTGATGTTCAAACTCAAAAGGATAAAGTAGAGCCCCTACTATTTTCTGCCTTCCTGTGATAAGCTTAAGTTTCCTTCTGGTCGATTCGCTCACAAACTGGCCAAACTCTCCCAAAGTGTGCATAAAATAGCTTCCTGTGACATTCAGTTGATTTATATTCACAACACATCCTCTCAAGGCACTTTATAATTCCATCAGATCATACATTCAAATTGAATCAAAGTTTTCTATCTAAAGAAAACAAGTTAATTGCATCAAATCATTGACTCGAAAGCAATCCATCACACCCAGCACCAAGCATGCTTGTAGCGACAGTGGAGAGGAAAATTTTCCTTTTAACAGGAAGAAACATCCAACAGAACCAGGCTCAGTGTGAGCGGCCATCTGCTGCGGCCGACTGGGGTTCAAGGAGACAGAAGCAGAGACACAAAAAGCAGCTGTAAAAGGCGGCCCCGTCCAGGAAACACACAGCCAGGCAGACAAGCTCCGAGCCAGCTCCCATGTCAGAGGATGAAGAGAGCACATCCAGTTAGTCACAGTCAGAGAAACAGGATTACACTGGAAAACAGGCCAAGCTCCAACATCTAGAAACAAAGGTGTTGATGGCAGCAGCACAGCTGATATTTCTCTCCAGGATGGAGTCACAGCCAAACAGGAACAGACCAGATGAAGCTACTATGAGAAAAAGCAGAGAGAGCAGAACGTTAGAGATTGAACTAACAGATTCTGCAGAGTGGGAGAATAGAGATAGAATGAAGCATAATGATGAAAAAGGGGTCCCTATGTCCTCCAGCAGTCTAAGCCTATAGCAGCAGAACTATAGAGATAGCTCAGGATAACCTGAGCCACCCTAACTAGAAGCTTTATCAAAAAGGAAAGTTTTAAGCCTAGCCTTAAAAGTAGACAGGGTGTCTGCCTCACGGACTAAAACTGGTAGTTGGTTCCACAGGAGAGGAGCCTGATAACTAAAAGATCTGCCTCCGATTCTACTTTTAGAAATTCTAGGAACCACTAGTAAACCTGCAGACTGAGAGCGAAGTGCTCTGTTAGGAACATAAGGAACAATCAGATCTCTGATATCAGATGGAGCTTGGCCATTTAAGGCTTTTAAATTCTATTCTGGATTTAACAGGAAGCCAATGAAGAGAAGCCAGGATAGGAGAGATATGATCTCTCTTTTTCATTTTCATCAGAACTCTGGCTGCAGCATTTTGGATCAGCTGAAGGCTTTTAACTACAGTTTGTGGACTTCCTGATAGTAAAGAATTACAATAGTCCAGCCTTGAAGTAACAAATGCATGGACTAGTTTCTCAGCATCACCCCTGGACAGGAGATTTCTCATTTTTGCAATATTGCGCAGATGAAGGATGGTAATTCTAGAAACCTCTTTGATATGATTTAAATGACAGGTCCTGATCAAAAATAACACCAAGATTTTTTACTTTATTATCTGAAATCAGTTCAATCCCATCCAAATGAAGTGACTGACTAATCAGCTTCTTTTTCAAAGACTCTGGTCCAAAGACTATAACTTCTGTTTTAGTCATAGGACTTCTTTCAAAACAAACTGCAGAAATACAACATAGGAAAGGAGCTGCATTAGCAATGAAGCGTCCACCATATCCTGGGTCTCTAACAACAGTGTAAAAAATATTTTATACCAAGAGTTTCTTTGCTTACTGTTGAATCATGTTTGAAGAGCTTATTTGCTTCCATTAACATCAACACTTTGCACAAAATGCTAATTTTGATTCTTATTGCTTCAGGAACAGCCTCTGCTTTGAAGAATGCTGAACAATGTAGCTGCACTTAAGCATGGTGTGTTCAATGATCTGAGAAACATGTAACACCAACCAGTCTGTATCCCTCCATCGCTCAAGCTGCATATTCTCCTGTTTGGGTCACAGAGCATCTCTGATTCAAATCAGTAAATAATTGTTTAACCTTTAAAACTATAGTCATTCATATATTTCCACTGCTCATGTGTTTCTTAAAAAAGGAAAGTTGTCATGAGAAGGAAAAAGGAGGTGTTCTTCAAACCTTTAGGAGGACACTATCAAGAAAAGGGAAAAAGAAAGAGAAAAACCAAACCAAAGGAGCTGAAAAGGCATCAAGGGATGAGAATGGGTAAGTAATGACTTTTTAATCTCATACTGAGCTGAACCAGCAAAATAACATTCTCTGTTTTTCATTTAACATCCAGATCAGCTGAAGATCTGCTGAGCAACGCCTGTTTGTTCGGCCTTGAGTCTCTAAGAGATTGCAAAGAAAGGAAAATAAATCAGATCCTAGAAGGTAATAAAAAAAACAGAATTTGCTTTAATATTTGTGCAAGTTTAACAGTTGATTCAGGCAATGTTGCAGTTTTATTACTTTTAGATTTGAGTGCTGCGTTCCACACTGTAGATCATCAGATTCTCTTACACAGATTAAAACATTGTGTTGGCCTAAGAGGAACAGTATTTGAGTGGTTTAAATCTTACTTAGAAAACAGAACTTTTTCAGTTCATCTTGACCACTGCTGTTCTGGGACCAAACCTTTGAGGTACGGTGTCCCCCAAGGCTCAATTTTAGGTCCCATTTTGTTTATTTTGTATTTATATTTTGGTCAGATCTTCCATAAGTTCAGTGTTTCTTTTCATTGTTTTGCAGACGATGTCCAGATTTATAGGCCCCTTAAACTACAGAATGGTAAAACTGAATCTGTTCTGGATCAAATGATCCAGAACGCAGTGGCACGACTTCTTACAGGAACCAGGAAGCGTGACCATATAAGGCCCATACTGGCCTCTTTACATTGGCTGCCCGTCTTTTATCGAATAGATTTTAAGATTCTTTTATTTACTTATAAGGTTTTAAATGGATTATCTCCTCCCTATCTTCGGGACCTTTTAAAATTTCACTCTGTTCCCAGAAGCTTACGATCAAATAATCAGCTATTACTGACAGTCCCTCGGACCCGACTTAAGAGGAAAAGAGATCGGGCTTTTTCTGTTGTTGCTCCAATTCTATGGAACAATTTACCTTTTCATATTAAATCTGCCCACAGCCTGGATCATTTTAAATCGCTTCTTAAAACTCATTTTTATTCTTTGGCATTTACTTGAAGTGTTTTGATAATCTGTTTTTATTAATTAGTACTATTGTTTGTCCTGTACAGCACTTTGGTGCAGTTTTATACCTGTTTTTAAAGTGCTATATAAATAAATTTGACATTGACATTGACATTGACAAGTTTATGACATGAAATAAACTGATTTTATTTTCTAATCATTTAGATCCTTTGGATCAGTCTGGATTACCCATTAGAATTAAGTTTGATGGTGATGGTGAGTTTGAACCACAACCACACTTGATCTCCATTTGAGGCCTTTTCTTGTCTTTATTTGAAGGTGCAGTGTGTGTCTGATGATGACCTTCTCCCTCCCACTGGTGTCTCTTACATTTCAGCTGAGGAGACCTTCCTATGCTCCGTCATAAACGACACCAGCAGCTCCACTGTACATTTCAAGCTGCTGCCTGCGTACATCCTGTATGCTGCGAGTCGCTTTGCCCTGCAGCGCCACAACAACAGCGGCTCTCCACCTTCCCCGAACACACACCCTGTAACGGCTATCACAAACAAAATGGCTGCCATGATTGGGAAGGTCATTCAGGCGAGTTCATAATAACTAACATGGCATGTTATAGCTTAGTTTGCAAGCCATGTTGTGTTTGGTTAGTTGATCAATCTTAGTCAGTGCAGTGTGTTAAACATAAATATCATTGCCTATAATTAAAAAATATTTTCAAGTTTTCATTTACTATAACTGAAACTAATCTGCTCTACACCCGACTCTCCAGAGGCAGCAGGCCATCGCTGGAGCTCTTTCCTTCTGGATGGCCAATTCATCTGAGCTGCTGAACTTTCTGAAGCATGACAAAGACCTCAGTCAGTTCACAAAGCAAAGTCAGCTGGATCTGTCCCATCAGGTTCAAAATGCCTACAGGTAAACACAGACAAATACGGACCTCTGACTCATCATCCTTCCTTTATTGAGTGCTTGTTTTCTTCTCTATAGAAACAAAATACCTGCAGACTGGTCAGTTTTAGAAGTGGACTTCATTAGAATTACAATTGCTAAAATCTAGCATATTATGACATCATATTACTAAAAGAAGAGAGTCATTCTACGAGCAATATATACTCAGTTGTTCTTGAAAGTTTACATATCCTTCCATTAAATACACAAAAAATCTGCTGCTAGTAAAAAGCATGGAATTGACAAAAGTAATAACAAATAAAATTATATGTATATATATATAAACGAATAAAAAAGCCTGAGGGAGCTACTAAAATAACATTTTGCTGAGTAACACTTTGAAATCAGGTTTTTTCTGCAAAGTTTAGAAAATATTCACTTAGACTTTTGCACCTGCTTTGGTTTATTGATCATGAACAACGTATTTAAATTTGTCTGAGACAGTATGTTTTTTTTAGATATATTTTTTAAAATAAAAATTCAAAATCAATATTTCACTTTGTTTTTATTGTATATTTTTAAGAAGAGCTATATGTTTAGAAGAGCTATATGTGTATATATTTTTATTTTTTTCATCTTTATTATCTTGTGTAGTTAGATGTGTATATATATATATATATATATATATAGATATATCTATATATATATATATATATATATATATATATATATATATATATATATATATATATATATATATATATATATATATATATATATATATAAAACTGTAACTGGAGCGTGTAACAAAAGTAATTTCCCTCTGGGATTATTAAAGTATTTCTGATTCTCATTCTGACAAAATGATAATTTAGCAAATTTGTATTTAATATAACCTTTCTCAGTTTTGTGTTATTTGAATAACTAGGGGGAAATTATCCTTTTCTTTAAAGGGAGTGTGTAAACTTTCAAGCACACCTGTACATATATAGGAAAGCATTACATATTGCTGCTGAAGCCTGTAAGCATCTTTTAGACAATCCTCCAGCTTCACCAACTCATTAGCAGTTTGTCAATTTATTGATAAGTACATCGCTTTCTCAAAGTATCAAAAGAAGAAAGCTTTTGAAAATATTGCCCCAAGGGGGAAATGGTATTGGACCTAAAGTGGAGCCCAGAGGAACACCCAAAGATGTCATATTAGGATGACTTCAACATGTTTAGAGCCATACTGTCAATCCTCTTGACCGATCTAAAAATAGACCGATGTTGGACTCAGATCTAAGAGGAGAAGACAGTGACACAAAGATTATGAGAGATTTTCTGACTTCACCAGATAAACTCAATGGTTTGTTTTTTTCTCTGCTGTATAGCTTCCTGCTACATTGCCTGCAGAGGGAGTTGATTAAGCACTTGCCAACTTTTCTCATTGATCCGGAGCAACACGGTGCTCTACCGGCTGGTATAGGTATATGGTTTAATGTTCGTTTTTAACAGTTAAACAGATTAAACCATCTTACTATTGTTTCTACTATAAATGTTATGCTATAACTTCCTCTTTTGGTCTCACTGGTCGCAGAGATGGTGTTGGACACCTTGATGAATGCCATGTCTCTTCTACGCCGGTGTCGGGTTAACCCGGCCCTAACTATCCAGCTCTTCTCCCAGCTTTTTCATTTCATCAGTGCTTGGCTTTTTAACCAGTTCATAGCACCAGAAACCATGACTCCAGGACTGCGCTCTCACTACTGGGGGTCTGCACTGCGTCAGAGGCTAACAGCCATTGAGGCCTGGGCAGAGAGGCAGGGCTTAGAGCTGGCTGCCGACTGCCACCTGAGCCACATAATACAGGTATAAAGCTGAATGATGCATGCTCTTCCCTACCATCATTACTTTTATTTGATATAATTATTTCTTTAACCATGGATTATACTGTCTCCTTGGATGCAAGCTGCTAAAATAGTATTGCCTGGTTTGTTACTAGGCGACCACTCTTCTGACAATGAAAAAGTACTCAGTGCTGGATGCTAAGGACATTCAGAGCTCCTGTTTCAAGCTGAACTCCCTGCAGCTGCAGATGTTGATGGCTGGCTACCTCTGTGGAACCAATGAGCCTCAGATTCCCCTTGTGAGTAGTCCTTCACTTCACTGACCCTGGCCACCCACAGTTTGCCTGCAGTTTGTTCTTATCAGAACAAATAGTTCACGCAGCAAAAATGAAATAAGATGATTTGCCAATGGAATAAATATGTTTACCCTTAAAATAAGCTAATTAGATATTAAGCCAGTTGCTCTTTTCTTATTCTGAGTGTAAATAGTCTTATTTTATTGGCAAAGTGTATCCCTTGCCTGCTCAATTCTAGAAAAAAAGCACATATCCTAAGAAATATTGATATTTGGGGCCTATATTCTAAGACAGCTCAGTATGAGAACAAAGCACAAGGTTTGCAGCAAGGGAAAAACATTCATAGCTACTGGCTGAGCTCATTGATTTAATAGGGTGAATTATTAATGACCTCAGTGACAAATATGATAATGAATCATGCATAAAGAGCATCATTATTTTGGTTCCTAGTGTCCTTTCAGTTTCAGTTTATTTATATATTGCGCAGATTCACATCACATGTCATCTCATGGAACTTTGCAGAGACAATTTAATAATATCATGTTGATTGGTTAAGATTTTTCTGTCTAAGGAATCCCAATGGAGTGCAAGAAGTAATTGATTTTGCAGGATATGTTCCTCCTGATGTGGTGACAGCAGATACTCGCTGTCATGATGGGTTCACTAAAAGCGACCCAAGAATGCAGAACACCACTGACGGACACAGGAATGAAAGTTTAACAAGTTTATTGATGCATAAGCACACAGAATATACTGGTTCAGGTTCGGGGCCTGGATACTGGTTCACCGGAGTCTGCGTGAGAGACAGTTCAGTTAGCGTTGCCAACAGAGGTTTGATTTCCTGAAGTTTACTGATTGTACCTTGAGGATTCTTGAGGTTAGCTTTGGGAGGGTCTCTGTTGGATCTGGAGAAGAGTTCATCAGCAGAGTCCGTAGCTGCTTCAGCGTCTCACGTCTAATATAAACAGACCTTGGTTTAGGGTTTCCCAGCTCTAGTCCAGAGCTGCTTGGAAGTTCTCTGTGATTCTTCAGGTTTGGCTCTGAGGGTCGGCTCGGCAGGTTAGCTCTTCCTGAGCTTTCACAGAGGAGGCACAGGTTTCCTGGAAGACAGAGACAAGGGTTAGAATCCAAGCTGGATTCAAAAGTCATAGAGTAACTCTGAGGATCTAGGCTTAAGCGCTGACCAACTGGAACAACACTGCGGCGTTGAGGTAAGGTCTGAAGACAGCTTAAGTAGTGGATCCTCTAATGATCTTGATGAGCTGCAGCTGTGCAGGAGGCTCCCTCAGAGGATCCACGGCGGACTCTGCTGGAGAAAGGTGGAATTTCTCCAGCTCCCAACACTCGCTTGTATCATGATGTTGACTCTATAGCAATCCTTCACCCTAAGCATCCATGCAGAGACAGTGGAGAGGAAAAAAACAAATATTTAAATAGGAAGAACCCTCCAGCAGAACCAGACGGCGTGGGCGGCCATCTGTCGAGGCCGACTGGGGTTTTGAGAAGACAGGAGCAGAAAAACAAAAGGAACATAAAAGCACTGATCCATAAATACTGACTAGGTTAGAAAAGGTAACAGTGACCTAGCTCTTGGAAAAAAAAAACTGTTATGCAGACAAAGGGATGAAAGAGAGCAGCTCAACACAGTAAAAGCTGAGCTATGTCAAAGAAAGAGACAGGACTAAACACTGAAAAATATGTCCAACTCTATCATCTATAATGCAAGTTGTTGATAGGATTCGCCCAGCTAATGCCTCCCTCCAGCATGGTATCACAGCTAAACACTGTGCCAAACCTGATGAAGCAGCTACATGAAGATAAAGCAAAAAGAACATAAAGTTAGGGTTTTAACTAACAAATACTGCAGAATTGGAGGATAGAGATAGAATGAAGCAGAATGATATCAAGCAACCCCTTTGTCCTCCTGCACTCTAAGCCTATAGCAGCATAACTATAGAGATAGCTCAGGATAACCTGGTAGTTGGTTCCATGGGAGAGGAGCCTGATAACTAAAAGATCTGCCTCCCATTCTACTTTTAGAACATCTAGGAACCAGCAGTGTAAGAGGTAAGTGCTCTGGTAGAAGCAAAATGATCCGATCTCTGTTATAAGGTAAGATGACTTTAAATTATTTCGGGAATTAATAGGAAGTCAATGAATGAAAGCCAATGAGGAGAAATATAAACTATATTTAATTATCATCAGAATTCTGGCTGAGGCATTTAAATTCCTTCCTTTGATGTGGAAAGCTGATAGAAACAAACCTCTGAAGACTTTATCTGCACAAATACTGACTAGTAAAAAAGTTATTTAACAACTAGTGCTTTAAGTGGGTCAATATACAATAATACGCAATGCCATCAATTCCAAATTTTACCTTTTGACATATCAGAAATGTAGTCCAGAAGTTTTTTAAATATAGGGTGCTTAGTGGGACTTTTGTCCATATGGGTGCAAAAAATAAGAGTAATAAAGTAATTTAACACATTTTGCAGCAAAAATGGTGCATATACTTAGCCTCGTGAGACCATCCTGATCTCGCGAGCTTTCAAGGTTTCCCTCGCAGATCAGTCTGGAGACTCTCCGTTAAAGAAAATTTTGAGCCGTTCACCAATCGAATGTCCAATCAGCGTTGGCTTTGAGGCGGGTTGAGGTGTGACGCAACGAGAAGCGCGACAGGTCAGTCTAAAGAACATGACGGCTTCAGCCGATGAAACTAGCGTTAGCGTGGCTATCGAGCAAGTTTTATCGGAATTACAGAGTATTTCTTCACTGAAAGAAGAGCAAAACACTGCTCTGGAGGCTTTTCTCAGAGGAAAAGATGTTTTTGCTCTTCTCCCGACTGGTTTCGGCAAGAGTTTGATCTATCAATTGGCTTCTCTTCGTCGTCGCTCTGTTAGTACGTCAAATGATCTGATTGGTTTATTTGGCCCGTCTATCACCAACATAGGCCAATCAGCTAACCAGTATTTTCGCCCCTTCCCAAAATTACTTCAACGGAAGGTTTCCAGATGGATATGAGGAGCAAATCCATCTGGCGGAGTCAGGTTAGCATAAACTTCCACACAATATAACTGTATTTTACCTATAATGGAGGAAAATTAACAAAGAAAACAGATTTATAGAGGGATTAAAATGAGGAAGCAAATAAATGCATAATGTAATCCTTCGTTTGAATCTAGTATCACTCCCTCTCCTCAGCCCTTTCTTTTTCAAGGTTAAACATAGGATTAATTAACATAACTGTGTTGCTTTTGCGTTTATAATTTTTCACATTTTTTAATTCATTCAGTTTAGTGTTGCTTTGGTAGTGCATAACTGTATTTTTGCCAACAAGAGGCAAAAAACCCTCCTCATATTGAAGGAGTGACTCCTTAGAAGGAGTCAGACAGGAGTTGGAACAGAGTGGACATTTTAAAGAGACAGTAGAAACCGCTGGAGCAGAAAAAAACGCTCAGCACAGATGAGGTGCAAAATGTATGGAAGCATGTGTTAATCGCACATTAATGTGCATGGACACATTAGCTTTGACAGCCCCTAATTGGCCTGTTTTTTCCAGTATTTCCGTTGCTGACTCATCAGCTCACGAACTTGTTAAAGCATCACCTGCTGTAGTATAGCCTTTTTCACTACTTAATTACACATTTTTATTTTAAATATGCAGTTGTTATGATTTGGCTACTAAAACTATGATTTTTTTTTCCCCAAGCTTTTTTTCTTCTTCTTTTTTTTGTGCCCTACTTCAATACTTGGTCTCCCAGGCACACAAGGTAAAATAATATGGCTAAAGTGAAAGAACCCCTGAATTTAATGAAACCTTTAGTCTCACTTTATTGTATTAAAAGATGTTTTATTTTATAAAACATCTGTAATCCTTTGTTATTTCTATTTTCATGTCATCATCATAAGTGTTAGAGTAAATAAAAGTTGATTAATTATAATTTGAATGCCGCTCATAACAGAATTTCCCCAGTGTGGGACAATAAAGGGATTTTCTATTCTATTCTATTAAGATTTGTTGTTTATTTTTATTACTTTATATACATAAAACTATTTATCCACAAATAAAAGATAGATCTATATAAAATATTACCACTGTTTCTGTAACATATTTATATAACATTAAGACGAGTACCAGCACCTGTTTTCTCCCACTTAAATCCCTGTTATGATGAAGAAGGAAAATGGTTTGGGATGAAATGTAGATGCACAGGTAGAGAGACAGACAGGATAGAAGAATCAAGCAGAAAATGTGAGTAAATAAGCTATGGCAGCAATGGAAGATGGCCAATGAGCCAGAAGAGCTAATCAGATGGAATGAAGAGGAGCTGAGCAGCTAAGAGCAGAATAGCTGAAGGACAAAGTCTAATTAGGCAGTGCAGAGCCGTAAATAAATGCAAAGAAACCCATAGAAGACTCAAATAGAAGTCATACAGGAAATACCTCCAAGGGCCTGTTCTTCAAAGATAAAAAAAAAAGAAATGCACACGCAAAAGTGAGCATATGGTGGGAGATGTACGGCGGTTAAATAATTAACAGGTGTAAAAGCTTTTCAGTCCACCCTACTTAGACGGGGAAATTGTGTGAGTGACAGTTTGGGAGTGGCTGTAAACCAAAGATGAGGAGTTGGAGGTAATATAAGGATTGTGAAAGAATAACAATTTTAAAGGAGACAGCAATGGCGCCGAAGCATCATTCATCTGTTTTGATGATTCATCTCCACCTCTGCATGAACACAGTGGATGTCAAAGGCCAGGGTCATCCGTCGGCTCAGAATCTTTGCAGGCAGATTGGATGTCCCCTCCTTGATCGACTCTTCCTTAAAATGCAGCAGCTGTCTCTTACTGTCTGTCACCTTCGCTGCAGGATTTGATGGATGCCGCGGTGAAGGCTGCCGAGGCCTCGGCCGATAACCTGATTCACAGTGAAGGACGAGAAATCCGGTTGGAGGAGAGGCTCAATCTGCTCCTGCCTTTCCTGTTGCCGGAGGGAGGATATTCCTGTGACACAGTGAGAGGAATCCCTCAGGGGCTCGCAGAGTTTTTGGAGCCAATATGTCAGAAAGGTAGGAGACCTTCCATTCAGATGTAAAAGTTGAACCACACTTTATTCTGAATTTGGAAGTTAGTTGCATCCTTTCTATCTCACTCTCAGGGCTCTGCTGTTTGACCTTTGTGCCTCGTTCCCAAGGAGACTGGACAGCACACTTTGGTGAACGAACAAATAGAGATGGGGATTTATACTTGGTAACAAGAACAGATGCTGTGCAGAGACGTTTTGACAGGCTAAATTAACTGTGAGATGAAATCGTGCATTTTATTTGTACTTTTATTTTCATCAGGAAGCACACAGACAACCTGAGATTGTGAACATCACTTTGCATAAGCCTTTGAATAGTGGGATGGGAGTCAGTATAGTAGCAGCCAAGGTGATGACTGTAAAAACATAAAAACTGTCAACACAGAGATTCAGAGAATGAACAGACTCTAATATTCTGCTGCAGGGAGCAGGCCAGAGTCACCTCGGGATTTATATTAAATCTGTTGTCAAGGGAGGACCGGCCGAAATGGTAAGAGGATCTCAGCTTCATTTTGGAGGGAATATATCTTATTATGCAAGAGATTAAGATGTTTTGATGCTGCATGCAGGACGGGAGCTTAGCAGCTGGAGATCAGCTGCTCAGTGTGGACGGTCACAGCCTGGTTGGACTCAGCCAAGACAGGTAAGCTACATCTGGCAACAAGTTCTACAAAAGGATTGTACTGTTAAAAAATGAACGGAACTACATGTTCTAATCAGCTGATATTGCTAAAAATATTTAGAAATAGAGTAACCACTGGATACTCAACCTAAATGAGAACAAGCTCTATCCTGGTAGGGAACCGTTCCCAGATTAAAGGTCCAAATTCCAATTAAACCCGGCAGAGAAATCCGTTTAAATACAGAACTAGTTTGGAGCAGCCATGAGGGAAAATAAAAAATTCATATCTGCAACTTTGACTATATTTTATGAGAGCAGCAGATATATTTAATCTGAAACATACAGTCCTGCTCCACGTTCTGACCTCAGGGGACGTTCTATTGGATTTCTGACATGTAACTTTGAAAATCTAATAGAACACGCTCTAATGCACCAAATCACAGAAAATAAATGGCAAGCTTGTGAATACATGAACTTTATTCAATAGTTTTTTAATGTAAATGATCAGTTTTCTTGGATATTGAGCCCTTCTTATCCTTTACGTTTTCCACATGACTACATCCTGTAACAAACATCCAGTCATGTTAAGATAATATTCTCTCTTCATGAGAAATGTCATAATTGCTTTCATAAACATTTTTGACGTATTAAGGGCAGCAGCGATAATGATGCAAACTGGACCTGTAGTGACCCTAAAGGTGGAAAAGTTTGCGGCGAGCTTCCATGGCCTCTGGGAACTACTGAAGGAAACGTCCCCAGAAAACAGAACAAGCAAGAACCATTTAGGAATGGGTAAGTTCTGCACTTCCACTCATATTTATTATTTTTGAATCTCGTTTGAAAATGTTTTTGTCTGAAAAGGTGATGGAGAACAGAGGAAGCTAAACAACGGGGGGTGGACGCTGCACTGCGTTGTGGATGGCAGCCCCTCAGAGAGGCTCCATGGAGGCAGCAAAAGAAAGAAAGACCAGAGGATGCAGAAAAACCGCCAGCTGTACCGTTCCAACCCTAACATGACCGGTGAGTGACCCTTTGTTGTGATGACTTTTGGCAGCTGGGCGTGTGCAATCCACATTCCTGAATGGGAAGTACGTTCAATGCATGAGGATGAGTAAAAAAGACAGCTTTGCTTCTATTATTTTCGGCTTGTTCCAGCAGGCTTTAGCCTGGAGGATGGAGGGGAACACGGTGTCCCCAATGGGAGAGGAAACAACTCTGCATCCGTTTCAAGCATCAACCTTTGCACTGATGTGAGAATTTTATTTGCTTAATTTGTATTTTCCTTTTCTTCAGGTAAAGACATGCCCCCCCCGCCCCAAAAAAGGAATAAAACATATTAATGACAGATTCAGAAAACATCAGGATCTATGCCAAAAAAAAATTTAAAACATAAGTAAATAGTATTTGAATTTATATTTCTAATAAGAAACCAGAAACATTTATTTATTACTTATTTTGAGTTAAGTATTTGTACATTTCCCTAAACTAGTTTTTCATTATTATTTCTTTTGAAGCATTTCTACCTTGATAACTGGGTAACCAGAGAGCAAATATTATCAGAGCTTTGGTTAAAATTTGATAACGTTTATTGACAGAAATTTTCTAATCAAATAAAACACCAAAGACAACTTTTAGCTGCTTTTTGTCAATAATAAAGGCAATATTTGATTTACTCTTTCAGACCCTTTGCAGGGAATATCAGACCCTACCGAACCCCAAGTCGAAGGAGAAGTCGCCCTTTGAGTCAAACCAACCAACAGCTGTGACTCCTTTGAATGAGCAGAGCTCCAGTAGGAGGAGCTTCATGGTATGGTCATGCAACTCCACCATTAAACCATTTGTACTGCCTTATAAGAGTTTAGCACCTTCCATTTTCACGTATATAAAGAAACTGAGAAATTCACCTTGTTGTATTGGAATTTTTCATGTCACTTTAGAGACATCAGCAGCTGAATTTCAATTGTTCTCCCATTAAGCGTCAGGCCATGTCTGAGGAGAACCTGTGTACGGATACTGGAGGCCCCCTGCTGGACCAAAGGCAGAACACATGTGCGCAGAGGAACCACAATTCAAAACAGTTAACAAGCTCCTGCTCATCTTTCCCTGTTCGCTCAAGCGTTTCCACACATGACATCCTCTCTGATGGCAGCGGCTCTACCAAACAGCTGCAAGGAACCCGTCCCAGTCCTGCCGGCGTCTGGAGAATCCCTTTTACACAGCAGTCCACACCGACACCATCAGTCCAACCAATGCGCATCGACATCCCCATCACCGGAGCCAGGAGCACACAGTCAAACCCTCCCCTCACTACCTTCCAGCAGAGCTCTGCTGGGCTTCAGGTGAAGATGAACCAGGTTCATAAAGCCAGCGAACAGCAAATAAATTCTCCAAACCAAGCAGCTCATATCTACGCTCGTCCTTTATCAGCTCCTGAGAAGCTTCTTCAGCCCTCAGCTCTTTGGCAGCAGCAGAGATCCATCCTATGCGGAGATAAAGTAGAAAAACCCCAAGTGAGCATCACTCCAACCAAACACGTTTCTTTCCAAGAGCCTCAGTCTAAGCAGAAGAGCTCAGGCCTTGCAAAGAAAAAAGATCCCCAAGCACTGTGTGATCCCTGGAGGAGGGAAGCCCAGGAGATGCTGGAGAAGCGGCAGAGACTAAAGGCCGTGGAGCTTCTGGAGCAGGAGGCGCAGCAGCTTCGAGCAAAAGACAAAAGGAGCGCAGAAGAGAATGACAGACTGAGGAAGCTTGACCTGGAGTGGCAGTTTCAGAAGAGGCTGCAGGAGGTTCAACAGAGAGATGAAGAAGAGGAGGAGGAAGATCTGGACATGATGGTGATCCTGCAGCAGCTGGGGGACAGGACGCCAATTAACAAGGTAGAAAAAAAAGAATTCAATGACCTGATTGTCATAGATTAACCTCAAAGTTTGATTTACCATGGAGAATTCACATTTTTGTACCTCCATGTCTAGGAAAAGATCAAATCTGTAGGAAATGACAACAGAGAACAAAACCAGGAGAAGCAAGCAGGAAATCAGCTTTTCAACCGGCAAGAACAGAAACGAGGTACAAAAAAAAAAACAAAAAACATTAAAGGAAATTTCAGACTTTTATTGTGATTCTGTTACACATTTCCTTTACATGACAAAATAAAACGTTTTTATGTCTTTGGCAGATCAAAGAAAAAAGGGTCTGAACAACTTCGCTCCAGATGAGTGAGTTTAAACTTTCCAGCAGGTCCAGCTCCACGTTGGGGTCTAGTACGGTGGCCCAGAGGTCTCAGGCTTAAAACAAAACCCTCACCGAAAAATTTAAATAGCACAACAGAAGTGACATACAATGGAGCTGATGGTTCTCTATGTTCCAATAGGGGTGACCTCTGACCTCTGCTAATAAAGACAGGCTGATCAATTACAATCTATAAACACATAAGTTTTATAGTCGGGTGATTGTGTGGAAAAAGTTTCTGTGCTGAACTTGAACTACAGAAATGAAGGCCTGACTATAAAAACACAAATGGAGTCTGTGGTTACCATGGAGATGTCTTCAGCTATTTTAGATTTAACTGGTTGATAGACGGAGAGTTAGAACTAAAAGCCCAGAGAGAAAAGAGATGAAAGCATGGCTTTAGGTCATCTGATGATAGTCACCCTCCCAAGACACACACCTCTGGGCCACCGTAGTCTGGAACCAGCAATAAAGCAAAGTTTTTAACACAATCTGTGATGGCATAAACAAAAAATGTCCCTGAGTAATGTAAATTCTCACACCCTGGCTTTATGTGTGTTGCTATAAAACAAGTTGTTTTCATCCAAACCCTTAATTTCAAGTAAATGAGTAAATTTTTCCTTTTGCAGGAACCTGGAGGGAAACATGAGCAGGGCGTCTGCTCCTGAGAAGCTGACATTCAGAGAGCGTCAGCGTCTTTTCTCACTGACAACAAGTGCATAAACTAAGTTTCCTGTTTTTTTTTTTATATAAAAAATGAACTTTCATTTTGAAACAGACAAAAAAAAAGCATCTTGAAAAAATGTTGTCAAATTACAAAGATAAAGTTCATTAAACTTTAACAAGATTTTATGTGATAGACTAACATAAGGGTAAACAAACAATTTAGAAATGCATCTACATTTTAGATGATTAATTCCAGGGCAGTTATTAAATAAGTAAATAGGATTATAGCAGTGCGTAATTAAAACTCTGTATAGATACCATTATTTTCTGAAGCGCATCATAGTGACCCACGCATAAAGAACAGTTGTGGACTTTGATTAAAACCCAGAAAGTAGAGCAAAGATTTTATGCAGGAACAGAACAATGAGTCTAAACATACGAGCAGAACAAAGGATTTGGATCAAAGCATTTCTGTGTTTTAAAATGAGTCAAAGTCCAGACGTAATTATACTTAACATTTAAAAGTCTTGGAAAAAGTGTTTCCATAAAATCTTAGTGGTTGTAAAGTGACAAACTGTGCAATTATTAACTTTTGCAAGGAACAACCTTCAAGGTCTGCATGTCTTAGAGCAGACATGTTTGTCTGAATCACGTAAACGTTAGAATTGATCATTCAGTTGAATCTAAAACAGCGATACCTTTGATTTTCAGCTAATGTTAGTTTGCACATAAATGAGGTCTGTGGTTCCAGTGTAGGCCGGACTGCCTGTTTTCATGATCAAGTTACTTTATGCGCTGATGAAACTGCACCACTGCCTTTTCCTGTTCGTGGGTTTCGATGGAGCCCCTGCGAATTTGGCGGATCTCTTTGATGGCGTCGACCCCTGCCATTTTCCTCGTCTTCACCAGGTAGCAGGCCAGCATGGTCCCCGTTCTTCCGTGGCCGTGCATGCAGTGAACGGCCACACCCTGGCGGCAAACAGAACAACGTTTGTTTGCTTTAGACGACTGAGATCTGTACACACCCTGCATTAGCTTCTGAGCTTAGGCAGGTATCTGCTGTTGTTTTTTTGCACTGAAACTGTGTCTGGTTGTAACTGATTTTTCCCCCCACATTTTGTCATGTAATGATCACAAGTTATAGTTTTGGTTAAAATTAAACTATAATTGATCCTCTAACGCAAAGCAGTATGTATTCCTGGACTTTGTTTCCAAGTTTGAAGACGTTTCGCTTCCCATCCAGGAGCTTTTTCAAATCAAAATGTCAGAAATAGCGTTGAGTTGCAGGCTTTATAGAGTGGACCAAATCAAAGCCTTGTTTTGGTGTAGGAAACATGCAAATTGAACCTGACGAGCAGCTCCTCCCGTTAGAATGGGGGTTGTTTTGTTTCTTTGTTAGTCTGTAACACCTGAAAACTTTCTGTCTCTGAAAGGGGGGTCGTTAGAGGGAGTTGGTTTTTCTTACAAACCTTAAACGGAGGGGCAGGACTCAGATTTCAGCTTTCAAAAACCTACAATTCAGCGATTGATTTGATTGCTTCCCGCTATAATCGCGACCCCCACCCCGTTACAGCAGACCAAAACACCTCGCCTCATCAGGCAGGTCAACAATCCCCTTTAACTAATTGCATGTTTCTAAGCCAAAACAAGGCTTTGCTTTGATCCACTCTATAAAGCCTGGAACTCAACACTATTTCTGACATTTTGAATAGAAAAACCTTCCTGGATTGGAAGCGAAATGTCTTCAAACTTGGAAACAAAGTCCAGAGGTTTGTTTTTTTACTATTTTGGAATGACTATGACCTGGATGATGGAGAATCTTCACCAGCTCTATATGTATTCAATCTGTATTACTTTGCCCCCTTAAATACATCTTGTTCCAAATAGCTTTAACCTATGATTAAATGGAGTCCATCTTAATGTTATTGGCCTTTATTCTAGAATGATGGGGAGTTAGTTGAGACAGCAACATAAAGGAGATACAGCAGCAGGTGGAGGTAGGTGTTCTGACCAGAGCACTGAATACTGAACTATCTGCCCTACAAGCAAAATCCCGTGTATGGGATCAACATTACCCTGTACCCACCATCTTCATGCCAAAGCATGGTGGTGGAAGCACAATGCTGAGGGGGGTTGTTTTTCTTTCCAACTTAAAAAAATTAAAAGCTAGATATCTGGAAAACTTGGCCGTTTTTCACATTATGTTGTAATTAAAGGTGTAATAAAAGACAGATAACCCTGCTAGTGTCTGAGCTCATACCTCTCCTTTGGAGTTGGCCTCTTCCACGATAGACAGAAATCTATCGATCTGACTGGGTGAAGGAGGAGTGAAGTCGACTATCTTAATGTGGTGAAGCTGTAACTCGGGGCAGGAGTCGTGGTTTGGTGGTTTCCTCTCACACAGACAAACAAGGTGTTTAATCCCGTTGTCCAGCAGGTACCTGTATTCACATGGCATCCTGGGCATAGCCAGTCCAGCCAGTTTTCCAGGCTCCACCCAGGAGAAGTTGGGTGGAGTAGAGGAAGCCATGACGGTTAGTCTGCGGAGAGAAATCCCATGCAGTATTTTAAACAGACATTTATTATAAAACATTTACTGTATGAGCACTATAAAAGATATTATTGGGGCTTTGTAAGGTATAAATAATAAGATAGCAGTAAATATAGTATTCTGATAATCCTATCTACATAATATCAGTCAGGAACTAGATTAAAGTTACACATCTACCTGTATTCTTGTATTAAATCTCTGATATCACTCTAAGATGTGGATTAAGGAATAAAACTGCCCCAGAAGTTAAACCATTTTAATTTAATCAGTCAGTTTTTCGTGTATCTTTTAGGTTAGTGAGGCCAGTTTAAAGTCACATTAAGCTGTAAGATTACAAAGCGTCTTGGAAAACCACCAAACACCATCAACCAAAAACAATATATCTGTTCTTTCTTAATGCAAAGCTTGCTTTTATCGTTAATTTGTGCTGACATACCACTTCTAATCCAGTAATGCAAATGTAACAAAACTTGGATGGATGGATGTTCAATTAGGTTGTTATTTTTGCACAGAGTTTCTGATTAGGGGCTGAAACAATTAATCGTGATTAATCGATTATTGAAATAAACGTCTACTTATATAGTGATCGATTAATCGTTACCTGGAGTATAAAATGCCTTTAGCTGACACAGCGACCCACATTGAGCAGTAATTATACCAAAATTGTAAATAAAATATGTGAACATTTTGCATTCAAGATAAAAATCTTTTTCTTCTTTCAATATGTTCTATTCTATGGAAGACAGTTAGGGCCACTGAAAAAATAATAAAAAGTTAACTGATTTTTACATTTTATTTCAGTATAATATGAGAAAACAAAATCTGAATTCTGACTTTAATCTCACAATAATCTCACTTTTTTCTCTGAATTCTGACTGAATTCTGTCAGCTAACAAACATGTTAGCATTAAGCCATAGCCATGTCTGTTTTAGAGACTAAACTAGCTCCCTTTTTTAATCACTTTCTGATCTTCCATTAATGAAATAGAATCACCAGGGACCATTTGGACACGTAAAAAGTCGTCTAATTCCATCATTTCCCACCAATCTGTTCCTGTTCCTCCCAAACAGCTCACATCTTTGTCAGTGAAGCGGAGTGTTCCACATCTCTGCCTTCATGGGGCCCATCTACATTAAGATCCAAATGCTGAGATTTAAGTCAGAATTCTGAGATTAAAGTCAGAATTCTCAGATTAAAGTCAGAGTTCTGAGATTAAAGTCAGAGTTCTGAGATTAAAGTCAGAGTTCTGAGATTAAAGTCAGAGTTCTGAGATTAAAGTCAGAATTCTGAGATTAAAGTCAGAGTTCTGAGATTAAAGTCAGAATTCTGAGATTAAAGTCAGAGTTCTGAGATTAAAGTCAGAGTTCTGAGATTAAAGTCAGAGTTCTGAGATTAAAGTCAGAGTTCTGAGATTAAAGTCAGAGTTCTGAGATTAAAGTCAGAATTCTGAGATTAAAGTCAGAGTTCTGAGATTAAAGTCAGAGTTCTGAGATTAAAGTCAGAGTTCTGAGATTAAAGTCAGAGTTCTGAGATTAAAGTCAGAATTCTGAGATTAAAGTCAGAGTTCTGAGATTAAAGTCAGAGTTCTGAGATTAAAGTCAGAGTTCTGAGATTAAAGTCAGAGTTCTGAGATTAAAGTCAGAGTTCTGAGATTAAAGTCAGAATTCTGAGATTAAAGTCAGAATTCTGAGATTAAAGTCAGAGTTCTGAGATTAAAGTCAGAGTTCTGAGATTAAAGTCAGAATTCTGAGATTAAAGTCAGAATTCTGAGATTTAAGTCAGAATTCTGAGATTAAAGTCAGAATTCTGAGATTAAAGTCAGAGTTCTGAGATTAAAGTCAGAGTTCTGAGATTATTAAACTGAAATAATATTTTAAAATATTTATATTTTTTATATATTTTTTTCAGTGGCACTAATCATCTTCCATACCATCCAGAACTCCTCGAGAGGAAAAGTGTTAATTTCACCTGGTTTAATTTCACACAATGTCTTCTTTAAAGAAGCTTTTGCTGTCCGATTATTAATAGATTAATAGGAAAAATAACTACAGATTAATCGATTTGCAAAATAATCTATAGTGGCTGCCCTAGTTTGATATTGCATTCTAGCCCATTGCTGCATATCCGTATTCTATAAACACCGGGAAACTTTGAGTGAAAAAAATCCTTATTCTAAGGACAAACCTTAAAGTTTTCACAAAGTCGAGAAGCAAATGATTATTATCTTTGATATCATGACTAGTTTTAGTTGCAACTTTGCATTAGCGACACAATAAGCTAACTGTACAGCCCGCATTCATTGAAGTAAATAGACATATTAATGTGGAGATCATCGTCACTTTCATACTTTATCCTCGGCGATGATACAATTAGCCATAAACAGTAATAACAGATTTTACTTACTGAAGAGACGAACAGCTTTACGGACAGGTAAACTGGTGACAGATCAACTGGGGACGAGATCAACTTGCGACAGCAGCTGGAAAACCGCTGATTTTTGCAGGTGTGTCTGTGGGCGGGGCTTTTCAGGACCCCTCTCCTCAAACAGGAAGTAAACTGCGTGTAATCTCCCAAGAACTACAAATTATTTTGTTATTTGATCGATACGAAATACGTTGAGATCTTAAGAAGTCACCATCACAAAGGTATTTAATTGCATTAAGAAAGCATATAGCATGTTTTAGGGATTTCTCCAAACCCGCACACAGAGATTTGAGGAACTTGTCCTGCTGTTTATCTGTTTGTGTCAGAGCCTCAGCGATGAGAGAAAGAACCGAGTAGAAAAATCACAGAAAGCTGTATGAGAAGGAAAAGTAATTAGTTTTCCTCCATATAAACAGTCAGCGCTTTTGAGAAAAAAAAAGAGGAAAATTTTATTTTTGCTCGTTTTAATTTACAAGACATACAGGAAGACAGAAAAATTGAAACAATTACACCGTTAGTTGTTCCCATTGACCTTTTATTGCACTGGCTGTTTTTCCTTCTCATACAGCTTTCTGTGGTTTTTCTACTCGGTTCTTTCTCTCATCGCTGAGGCTCTGAAACAAACAGATAAACAGCAGGACAAGTTCCTCAAATCTCTGTGTGCGGGTTTGGAGAAATCCCTAAAACATGCTATATGCTTTCTTAATGCAATTAAATACCTTTGTGATGGTGACTTCTTAAGATCTCAACGTATTTCGTATCGATCAGATAACAAAATAATTTGTAGTTCTTGGAGTCTATACGCAGTTTACTTCCTGTTTGAGGAGTTTGAGGAGAGGGGTCCTGAAAAGCCCCGCCCACAGACACATCTGCAAAAATCAGCGGTTTTCCAGCTGCTGTCACTATTGGCAGACAAACTACTCCGTTCCATCAAATAAATGTGACATTATAAAAGTTTTAATGCAGTTTATTAAGCAATAACATCACAATATTAAGAAAAAAACAATCTATTTAGAAGTACTATAAATAAGACATTTGCCGAAAAACGGCAAGAAAAATACCAAAAAAAGTAATTAAAGATCTACATGGAACAATAATTTAGTGGCCGAAGAGCCACCGGAACTGCTGCCACTGCCACGAATTGAGCTTGCTGTCTCTCGCAAAAAGCTGCATATTGTAGTTTTAAAAGCACATTTATTATGAGTCTGTGCAGAGAAAAACACAAACTGTTGCTTTTAATAAGCTATTATGATGAATAATGTTTTCTTTTCTTTAATAATCAAGAAAGCAACCAGTAAATGTGTGGTCATCCCGTCAGACAGCTGAATCCCAACCTCCCAGCATGCACTGCTCTGAAGCAGCCTCTCTCCGGAGTTGCCATGGTGATCAAGCTAGCTTCAAACGCTTCATAACACAGAAACTATTTTTGTTTCCCATCAACTTATCTCCATAACAGACTCTTCTTGTGTTGGTTGTAGGAAGTTACACCCGTCCACATAGTTAATACTTAGTTTTAATATTTATTTTGGGGGGTTGAACGTAAAAGTGAAGACGTTGAAAGTTAGCATACAAGCTAACCATTTTAACCGAATGTATCTGTGGTTGACACACAGCCTGCTAACAAGGCGACAGTTATATCAGTGTTAAACGATGCATGTCTGCTGGTATTGTAACACTCAAGTAAGCAGGCTTCTACAAACCCAAATATAACTAAAGTAGTGAGCTGTAAGGACCTTACCTTCGCCGAACGGAAAACGTGAACGCGACTCACATATCGCGAGAGATGGAACGTGATGTTAAGTGCGCTGATCTACAGATCATAGCCAGTGCGCCTTTCATTCAAATAGAGTGAAAAACATTTGTAGATCAACAAAAATGTTGCGACCTTCTGGTGTTCAATGATCTGTATGGATTACATAAATAAAAACTTATTAAAAATAAGATTGGATTAGGGATATTTTTGTCAATACGTTTACATTTTATACTCTTAAATATAACATGTTAAAAATCACATGTAATCGAGTATGGTGTGAAGGCCTCTTTAAGGACCTGTACGTCCCTGACTGTGTGATAAAAAAGGAATCAGTGGAAAGTCGGGGAGCCACTCTGTGAAGTTAGCATCCGATTCGTACCCCTGAACCTGCACTACTTTCAATTCTCTGTACTTCGACATTTAAAGTACTGAAAACCTGAAATGGTTGGACAAAAACAGATATTCTATCAAAAAAAGAAAAGCTTGATATACTGATGACAGGTAAGGGAATAAATGGGATTTTTTACTTATTTGGTCCATGTTGTAAACTACTTCATACTGAAATAACCTGCCCAAGGGAACCCAACCATCAGGGGCCTCCCATATATTTTAGAATTTTTATATAAATTTAAAATCTGACGTTTTATTGAGAATATCTATAGCATTAAATAGACCAAACGGGTTTAGCATAGATTAAATCATTTTAAATTGTTGTATATACATTTTTTTTTATAAATTCAAAGAATAATCTTCCTTGTGTTAAATTTTCAATATGATACCACAATTTTAATCTCTCCTTTGTGTTTAAGCTTGATTTTCACAACATATACATGCCATAAAACCAGTCTCTTTAAATTCCATTCAACTTGGCCCCCTTTCCAGCAAATCTAAAATCAATTTCACTGTATCTGCAATATTTTACAAATAGGCTTCATAAAAATAAATCTAGGTTAAGTGAAACTTTTATAATTACACTTGTTCATTATCGCCGAATGTGAAGCGGACTTCATGTCGTGAGGAGTGGGTGAGTCACTACAGCAGATCTGTTTTTAGCTTCTTTTTCTTTTCTTTTTTTAGCCCGGTGTAGGTGATCAGTCTGAAACTGATATTGGTAACACATTGCAAGGTTTTTCATGTTTAATACATCACCACAGTAGGTACAGGCAAGTTTTTTAGACCGCAGTGAAGTTAGTTTCAAGTTGGATATTCGATATTCGCGCTCCGCGGGCCAAGCGCTTTTTAGCTCGCGGCTGATCCAATTTACAGGTGCTGGTCATAAAATTAGAATATCATGAAAAAGTAGATTGATTTCAGTAATTCCATTTAAAAAGTGAAACTTGTATATTATATTCATACATTACATACAAACTCATATATTTCAGATGTTTATTTTGTTTAATTTTGATGATTACAAATGACAACAAATGAAAATCTCAAATTCATCATATCAGAAAATTAGAATATTGTGAAAAGGTTCAAAATTGATGGCCCCTGGTGCCACACTCTAATCAGCTAATTAACTCAAACCACCTGCAAAAGCCTTTAAATGGTCTTTCAGTCTAGTTCTATAGGCTACACAATCATGGGGAAGACTGCTGACTTGACAGTTGTCCAAAAGACGACCATCGACACCTTGCACAAGGAGGGCAAGACACAAAAGGTCATCGCTAAAGAGGCTGGCTGTTCACAGAGCTCAGTGTCCAAGCACATTAATAGAGAGGCGAAGGGAAGGAAAAGATGTGGTCGAAAAAAGTGTACAAGCAAGAGAGATAACCGCACCCTGGAGAGGATTGTGAAACAAAACCCATTCAAAAATGTGGGGGAGATTCACAAAGAGTGGACTGCAGCTGGAGTGAGTGCTTCAAGAACCACCACACACAGACGTATGAAAGACATGGGTTTCTGCTGTCGCATTCCTTGTGTCAAGCCACTCTTGAACCACAGACAGCGTCAGAAGCGTCTTGCCTGGGCTAAAGAGAAACAGGACTGGACTGCTGGTGAGTGGTCCAAAGTCATGTTCTCTGATGAAAGTAAATTTTGCATTTCCTTTGGAAATCAAGGTCCCAGAGTCTGGAGGAAAAGAAGAGAGGCACTTCATCCACGTTGCTTGAAGTCCAGTGTAAAGTTTCCACAGTCAGTGATGGTTTGGGGTGCCATGTCATCTGCTGGTGTTGGTCCATTGTGTTTTCTGAGGTCCAGGGTCAACGCAGCCACATACCAGGAAGTTTTAGAGCACTTCATGCTTCCTGCAGCTGACCAACTTTTTGGAGATGCAGATTTCATTTTCCAACAGGACTTGGCACCTGCACACAGTTCCAAAGCTACCAGTACCTGGTTGAAGGACCATGGTATCCCTGTTCTTAATTGGCCAGCAAACTCTCCTGACCTTAACCCCATAGAAAATCTATGGGGTATTGTGAAGAAGAAGATGCAATACACCAGACCCAACAATTCAGAAGAGCTAAAAGCCACTATTAGAGCAACCTGGGCTATCATAACACCTGAGCAGTGCCACAGACTGATCGACTCCATGCCACGCCGCATTGCTGCAGTAATACAGGCCAAAGGAGGCCCAACTAAATACTGAGTGCTGTACATGCTCATACTTTTCATGTTCATACTTTTCAGTTGGCCAACATTTCTATAAATCCTTTGTTTTTATTGGTCTTCAGTAATATTCTAATTTTCTGATATGATGAATTTGAGATTTTCATTTGTTGTCATTTGTAATCATCAAAGTTAAACAAAATAAACATCTGAAATATATGAGTTTGTATGTAATGTATAAATATAATATACAAGTTTCACTTTTTAAATGGAATTACTGAAATCAATCTACTTTTTCATGATATTCTAATTTTATGACCAGCACCTGTATGTACGCTAATGTCGGCCAGCAGTTCACCAACGCTCCCTTTCCAAGCGCTCCGTTACGGTGGCCGGGAAGTGCAAACCAACAATACAAAATCTGAAACACTTTTACAAATCTTGAAACAAATTTACATTTCAGAAAACAAATTTACAACAAACGAAACACTTTTACAAATCTCGAAACAAATTTACATTTCAGAAAACAAATTTACAACAAACGAAACACTTTTACAAATCATAAAACAAATTTACATTTCAGAAAACAAATTTACAACAAACGAAACACTTTTACAAATCATAAAACAAATTTACATTTCAAAAAACTAATTTACAACTGACAAAATCTTACGGAAAGGGAGGGACTGTCTTCGAAGCTTACCCGGAAGTGATAACCGGAGCGTTCATGATGACCCAAGATGGAAGCGAATCGAGTTGCGTTTTGCCCGTTCTGCGGCACTCATGTGAGCAGTTTAACGCGGTTTTGTTTTTCCTGCGGTCGGTCCTTGGAGTTTTTAAATGGTACCGAACAGACGGAAGAAGAGGTCTTGTGCGAAATTCTGTTTCCCCGTGAAAATCTGTTCCCCCTGTGTCGGGAGCGCGCGTTGCAGCCAGAGAGGCGGATCTGCCCTTTCCCCTCAATTTTGGGGCTCCTTGACCCCCATTTTTTTTTTTCAAAGGAAAAAACCCAGCCTACAAAAATAAACGTCATATCAACACTTTTTACAACTTTGGGTAAACATCCCAAATTAAACCCGGGTTGGGGGTTTTCTTTTTAAAAAAAATTTGGTTAAAATAAATCCCAATTAAATTTTGAGGGCCCTTTTAACCGCTGTTTTGTGTTGTTTTTAAACGCCAAGGGGAGATGGTATTCCCTCCAAAAAAACTTTTTTCCCTTCAGCCCCTTTGACCGAAAATATAACTTTCATCACCGAAACAAACCTTAGGATTTTTAATTTTTCATTTATTGAGAATAAAGGCTGATACACACCAAATAAGACGTTTCCTGGCGGATGAGGAGAAGAAACGTTAATACTTCAATGTAAAATATACAAAACAAAAATTTTTATTTCCACCCAATATAAATTTTAGAAAAGGGAAACATTTCTTTTTTTCCCCAAAAATTTGGGAAGGGAAAAAAGAAAAAACAGCCCAAAAATTTTTTCCCCCCATCAAAAAAAACCCCTAATTTTTAATGGTACCCCCTCCCCCAAGAACAAACCCTGTGGATTTGGTCATATTTACTCTTTTTTTGCAAAAATTAAAAGGGGGGGAACAGTTTTATTTCAGTGCCTGAAAAAATCTTCCCCCCCCATAACATGGGAAGAAATTAATTTACCTGCAAGTCTTAACTGTATTTATTCCCCTCACCACCAACAACAAATCCTTGGATTTTTTTCATATTTACTCTTTTTTTGCAAAAATTAAAGGGGGGGGAACAGATTATTTCAGCTGTTTTAGCTGCCCTAATAATCCATTCTCCCAATAACATGGGGAAAAAAATTACCACAAGTCCTTAACTTTGATTCAAAAAACATCTGCTCTTCATTTGACAAAGGCAAGAGGCCTTGGAATTTAAATCTTTCAATAACTATGTTAAAATAAAGTCTTGGAAGAATAAATATCAAACATAGTTTTTAAAATGTCCTTTATGAAGCATTAAACAACATGCATAAACCAGCACACCACAGCAAACTCAGGAACCTAAGGCAAACATGCAAAGCAGTAAAAAATTTTTTCAGTTGGTGGGCTAGCCACACACGCCTGATGGAACCACCTCAGGCACATGTCACAGAGGATCTAGGAAAGAAACCAAAAATGTAAAGTTTTATTTTAAAAATATGTCTTTGCGATTACACTACGCAATCAATAATTTCAGATTCCCTTATATTCCAATTGCTGGAGGATCCTATCAAAGCTTCATTATGCAAGATACAATTTGATAAAACTTGTCCTTATCATTTAACTTATACTAAATCTTTTAAAAATTCTAAAAAAGTTCTTCCCCAGTTCACGTCCGTGTCACTTTCCATCTCTCCACAGAAGTGACACAAGTCTTTTAGGTCATCTGGTAATAACAACATTATAAAAACACACACACACACAAACACACATGATTATCCCAGTACAAACAATGTCCATAAATAAATGTTTTCTGATTCCATGTTAATGTATTAATTTTTGGCTAAGTATAGATGTTTCAGTGAAACATACAAATAATGGTAATTGTGATAGCAATTGTCATTAACATTCAAAATAAGAATATTAATGTTATCCTCACCACTGTTAAGGATAAGTCTCACAGCAATTTCAAACCTCATGCTGTAGACTGCCTCAGTGGAAACAGGAAAATCCACAACCTCTTTTGCTAGGATCATTTCTGCAAACTGAGAGGTACGGCTTCATTTAATGGATTTAAATTGAAGTTACAAAGAAAGTATTCCCTGTGCATGTGTAAAAATATATATCAAAATCCTGAAGTCATACACTGTGTGACAATATGTATGCATCTTCGGTGCAAATGCACCACATGATGTGCTATCCTGTTGTTTTGGATGCTTGACAGTGTCACATGTCCAACGTGAGACATTGCACCCCTTCTTCCTCATAAATGCCCTGTAAGTATAGATACATTAATAAGAACAATTTTATATGACTTTAATTCTTCATTAAAAATTTCATTTTTAACCCTACCTTGTGATTTGCAAGCATTTCTTGATTTCTTGTTTTGATTCCCCCACTGGATCCAAGAACAAAGACTTTTTTTTTTTTTGCGGATAGATCACCTAGACGTGCATTTGACATTATTTATGTGGTTTTTGTTTATGAGATAAGTATGCTAATTAATGTTATAAAAAAAAAAAAAAAAAAGTATTACCACTAAAGTCCAGTGGTGGTGTTGATTGTTTATTCCCAGAATAATTTCCTCATTCATTGGGTTCATCTGTGAATGATAAAAAATGAATTAAACATTTTTATTAATCAAGAACAAAGCATGTTTTGTAACACACAGGTGATAGAAAAAAATTGTTAAAAGGATAAAACCATAAACATTTTTTTATTGATTCTAAATACATTACTAACACATGGAGGAGTAATACATATACAGTCAACTGCACATAATGAAATGTGTAAGATATACCTTTAATCTAGGACTTTTTCCCTGCCACATTGCTGTCATTGCAAAGGAATCTATGAACGCCGCCTGTCCCTTGTTCTGTCTGTTGTAATCATTCACGATGACAGCCAAAAATGCATTAATAGACTGCAATGTGTAACAAGAAAAAATATTAGTTATATACTTTAACTGCTGTGATATTCCTAAACAATATGGTCATTGTACCTACCTGACTCACCAGTTCCATGCCAGGACCAATTTTGTAAATGTCAGAGTAAAACAACTTATATGCATTCACTTTTGACAGAAGGACAAAGACGTTTTTTCCAGAAAAAGCTTCATGGACATCTGATGAGGAGGAGGGGTTGAGGTGAAGTGGAAAAAGAAACAAAAGTTAAAGATTATTTTCATTATCATGGCACCTATTTCATTCAATTTTACAACATATTACATATGTTATCCAACGATATGCAATTCATATGATTGGAGAATGAGAAAGTATTAACTTCACAGATTCATTCAGCTACTTTGAACATAGCAATTAATAATAAAGCTAGAACTGTTTTTTTACTGACTCACTGAAATTATTCTTCATTAAAAAAAAAGACTAAATTGCATATCCATACAAATACATTTTTAACAGACACATATGTATGATAATACAAAGTGAAATCTATGTGCTTTGATACATCCATCCATTTTATGTCACGCTTATCCCAAGCAGGGTCGTGAGGGGTGCTGGGGCCTATCTCCAGCTGTCTAAGGACGAGAGACAGGGTTGCTTTGATATATATTTATAAGAATTTAAAAGAAAATTTACATTTCTCTGCTAGGGATTTTCTCTGCGTATCAGGTGGTGCTGGAGCAGAGGGAGATGATGGGGCAGAGGGAGGTGGTGCTGGAGCAGAGGGAGGTGGTGCTGGAGCAGAGGGAGATAATCATGGACCAGAGGGAGGTGGTGCTGGATCAGAGGGGGAACAGATTATTTCAGTAAACTGAAATATATGGTTCCCCCACTTTAATTTTTGCAAATAAAGAGTAAATATGACCAAATCCACAGGATTTGTTCTTGGTGGTGAGGGGAATAAGCACAGTTAAAGACTTGCAGGTAAATCAATTTCTTCCCGTTATGGAGGGGGAACAGATTATTTCAGGCAGCTGAAACATCCATTCTCTCCTCTCCTCCTCCCATATCTTTGGGAAATAAAGAGCAACTGTTTCCAATTTCTCTAAAATTGATATGTGTGATGTGGTATACTATAAATGTCCTTAATCCAGTAATCTGTCATATTTTACATTAGAAGGTGATTAACCAGATATTCTTCTCTCATCTTCGCAGGACGTCTTAATTTGTGTGCCCTATCAGCCAGTTTCCATCCTCTTATATCAGCATTGAAAAATTAAAAATACACTACGTGTTGTTGTGTTCGGTGACTGACGTTTATTTTTGTCAGGCTGAAGGGACAAAAGTTGGAGAAATACCGATTCTCTTGGCGTTTAAAAAACAACACAAAACAGCGTAAGAGGGGCCTCATTAATGTATTTATTTTACAATTTTTTAAAAAGAGCAACCGATTAAAATGGATGTTACAAAGTTGAGATGATTACAGGTGCTGGTCATAAAATTAGAATATCATGAAAAAGTTGATTGATTTCAGTAATTCCATTTAAAAAGTGAAACTTGTATATTATATTCATACATTACATACAAACTCATATATTTCAGATGTTTATTTTGTTTAATTTTGATGATTAAAAATGACAACAAATGAAAATCTCAAATACATCATATCAGAAAATTAGAATATTGTGAAAAGGTTCAAAATTGATGGCCCCTGGTGCCACACTCTAATCAGCTAATTAACTCAAACCACCTGCAAAAGCCTTTAAATGGTCTTTCAGTCTAGTTCTATAGGCTACACAATCATGGGGAAGACTGCTGACTTGACAGTTGTCCAAAAGACGACCATCGACACCTTGCACAAGGAGCGCAAGACACAAAAGGTCATCGCTAAAGAGGCTGGCTGTTCACAGAGCTCAGTGTCCAAGCACATTAATAGAGAGGCGAAGGGAAGGAAAAGATGTGGTCGAAAAAAGTGTACAAGCAAGAGAGATAACCGCACCCTGGAGAGGATTGTGAAACAAAACCCATTCAAAAATGTGGGGGAGATTCACAAAGAGTGGACTGCAGCTGGAGTGAGTGCTTCAAGAACCACCACACACAGACGTATGAAAGACATGGGTTTCTGCTGTCGCATTCCTTGTGTCAAGCCACTCTTGAACCACAGACAGCGTCAGAAGCGTCTTGCCTGGGCTAAAGAGAAACAGGACTGGACTGCTGGTGAGTGGTCCAAAGTCATGTTCTCTGATGAAAGTAAATTTTGCATTTCCTTTGGAAATCAAGGTCCCAGAGTCTGGAGGAAAAGAAGAGAGGCACTTCATCCACGTTGCTTGAAGTCCAGTGTAAAGTTTCCACAGTCAGTGATGGTTTGGGGTGCCATGTCATCTGCTGGTGTTGGTCCATTGTGTTTTCTGAGGTCCAGGGTCAACGCAGCCACATACCAGGAAGTTTTAGAGCACTTCATGCTTCCTGCAGCTGACCAACTTTTTGGAGATGCAGATTTCATTTTCCAACAGGACTTGGCACCTGCACACAGTGCCAAAGCTACCAGTACCTGGTTGAAGGACCATGGTATCCCTGTTCTTAATTGGCCAGCAAACTCTCCTGACCTTAACCCCATAGAAAATCTATGGGGTATTGTGAAGAAGAAGATGCAATACACCAGACCCAACAATTCAGAAGAGCTAAAAGCCACTATTAGAGCAACCTGGGCTATCATAACACCTGAGCAGTGCCACAGACTGATCGACTCCATGCCACGCCGCATTGCTGCAGTAATACAGGCCAAAGGAGGCCCAACTAAATACTGAGTGCTGTACATGCTCATACTTTTCATGTTCATACTTTTCAGTTGGCCAACATTTCTATAAATCCTTTGTTTTTATTGGTCTTCAGTAATATTCTAATTTTCTGATATGATGAATTTGAGATTTTCATTTGTTGTCATTTGTAATCATCAAAATTAAACAAAATAAACATCTGAAATATATGAGTTTGTATGTAATGTATGAATATAATATACAAGTTTCACTTTTTAAATGGAATTACTGAAATCAATCTACTTTTTCATGATATTCTAATTTTATGACCAGCACCTGTATATGAGCTGTTTTTCCTGAAAAATGATCAGGAGCCCCTTGAGAATGGGCAGATCCGCCTCTCTGGCTGCAACGCGCGCTCCCGACACAGGGGGAACAGATTTTCACGGGGAAACAGAATTTCGCACAAGACCTCTTCTTCCGTCTGTTCGGTACCATTTAAAAACTCCAAGGACCGACCGCAGGAAAAACAAAACCGCGTTAAACTGCTCACATGAGTGCCGCAGAACGGGCAAAACGCAACTCGATTCGCTTCCATCTTGGGTCATCATGAACGCTCCGGTTATCACTTCCGGGTAAGCTTCGAAGACAGTCCCTCCCTTTCCGTAAGATTTTGTCAGTTGTAAATTAGTTTTTTGAAATGTAAATTTGTTTTATGATTTGTAAAAGTGTTTCGTTTGTTGTAAATTTGTTTTCTGAAATGTAAATTTGTTTTATGATTTGTAAAAGTCTTTCGTTTGTTGTAAATTTGTTTTCTGAAATGTAAATTTGTTTCGAGATTTGTAAAAGTGTTTCGTTTGTTGTAAATTTGTTTTCTGAAATGTAAATTTGTTTCAAGATTTGTAAAAGTGTTTCAGATTTTGTATTGTTGGTTTGCACTTCCCGGCCACCGTACTCCGTGCTTCACTTAGGGACCGTCAACAAATTTCCGAACCAAACAGTGCTGACATAAAAATATTAATAAATGTCTTTTCTTGTGACCAACTAACATATTAAGTGGTAATTCATGCTTTTACATTACATAAATAACATTTTATTGAATTGTAAAGCTATAATCAATATTTAAACAATTTAAATATAAAATAATAAAATCTTTTCGTCAATAGCTCCCAGGTCATGTGACCTATTGACCCAAAATCAGCATGAAATTGTTCTAATAGTCTCTCTAGATGAGGCACACTCATTTGATTTTCATTTTAACTCTTTTTTTATTTTTTAGCAATTTTTTTGTTAAAATTGAGGATTTTTTGTGAATAGCTCCCAGGTCATGTGACCTATTGACCCAAAATCAGCATGAAATTGTTCTAATAGTCTCTCTAGATGGGACACACTCATTTGATTTTCATTTTAACTCTTTTTTTATTTTTTAGCAATTTTTTTTGTTAAAATTTAGGATTTTTTGTCAATAGCTCCCAGGTCATGTGACCTATTGACACAAAATCAGCATGAAATTGTTCTAATAGTCTCTCTAGATGGGGCACACTCATTTGATTTTCATTTTAACTCTTTTTTTTATTTTTTAGCAAATTCTTTTGTTGAAATTGAGGATTTTTCATCAATAGCTCCCAGGTCATGTGACCTTTTGACTCAAAATCACTTGGAAATTGTTCTACTAGTCTCTCTAGATGAGGCACACTCATTTGATTTTCATTTTAACTCTTTTTTTATTTTTTAGCAATTTTTTTGTTAAAATTGAGGATTTTTTGTCAATAGCTCCCAGGTCATGTGACCTATTGACCCAAAATCAGCATGAAATTGTTCTAATAGTCTCTCTAGATGGGGCACACTCATTTGATTTTCATTTTAACTCTTTTTTTTATTTTTTAGCAATTTTTTTTGTTAAAATTGAGGATTTTTCGTCAATAGCTTCCAGGTCATGTGACCTATTGACACAAAATCACTTGGAAATTGTTCTACTAGTCTCTCTAGATGAGGCACACTCATTTGATTTTCATTTTAACTCTTTTTATTTTTTAGCAATTTTCTTTGTTAAAATTGAGGATTTTTCGTCAATAGCTCCCAGGTCATGTGACCTATTGACCCAAAATCACTTGGAAATTGTTCTAATAGTCTCTCTAGATGGGGCACACTCATTTGATTTTCATTTTAACTCTTTTTTTTATTTTTTTGCAATTTTTTTTGTTAAAATTGAGGATTTTTCGTCAATAGCTCCCAGGTCATGTGACCTATTGACCCAAAATCAGCATGAAATTGTTCTACTAGTCTCTCTAGATGGGGCACACTCATTTGATTTTCATTTTAACTCTTTTTTTTTATTTTTTAGCAATTTTTTTTGTTGAAATTGAGGATTTTTCATCAATAGCTCCCAGGTCATGTGACCTTTTGACTCAAAATCACTTGGAAATTGTTCTACTAGTCTCTCTAGATGAGGCACACTCATTTGATTTTCATTTTAACTCTTTTTATTTTTTAGCAATTTTCTTTGTTAAAATTGAGGATTTTTCGTCAATAGCTCCCAGGTCATGTGACCTGTGTCGCCATTGAGGCGATTTATATACAGACTTTTATGATGAAAAGTTGAGAAAAAATAGGACCTTTTATTTTGATACTGTTTCCTGTAGTTTCCTTACTACTTCCTGCATTGTATTCAGTTACTCCACATTCGGTTTCTATCTGCTGAAAATGGAAAAGAATTCCTGACTGTGAACGATGCTAGAAGCAAAGTCGTAAGTAAAAGTCATTGTTATGTTTAATAATTGATAGTTTAAGTTAAGTTTATAGTAGAAAGAAAATGTAATAAATAGGTTAAAAAGATCGTTTTTATTCATGTGTTTAGATAGGTTAATTCATCAGACTTTATGTGAAGCTAAACTTAAAATTAAAAATAGTTAAACTTTGTTTTGTTACAGTTTTCACTCTGCTATGTAATGCTGGATTCTTCAAGTAAACAACAGTGGAACGTTAACTACAGAGCAGTCTCCTGGTTATTGCATCAGAGTTTAACTTGTTGGA